GATCAAAACTTTTAAGGGCTGAGATTTTTAATGGCAATCTGGTAATTAAGAAAAGTCTGAATGGTGTATGTGGGTTTTTAACAAATATCACAAGGGTAAATCAGGTATTAGATTATCACGTCCCTAAACACTCAGATCTAATACTCTCTTCCTCTCTCTTTCTCTCTCTCAATGTATCGTGTTCTTCACCAACATCCTCCCTATTCGTCGACCGCCTCCCTCCTCCCTCCAACAACCACCCTACCTCTGTCAACAACCACCGCCTTCATTGAAGATCCCCTAATGATTGATAAATTGAACAACGTGGTGGTTGCGTCATTCGTCTCACTCGAAGTTCCGTGCCCTAATAAATCAGCCAGAGGTACGATCGCTCCGGGCCTCCTGATTCTCCTTCACCTCTGATCTTCCGGTCTCGAAGACGTGATTCAGAAGTTTAATCACGTCAGCGTCGGAGATTGCGGCTTTGTTAATGTCGTTGATTGATAAGTTCAGAAGTGTGGTGACGGAATTTTCTTGGATTTTTGGTCCGGTGAATATAAGAGGCTGATTAACAAGGTTGTAGCACCACAGTTTTCTATCACGATTCGACATGAACAAGAGGTAATTTATTTTCGTGGTCTCTGTATGTTTTTCACTTGGTTGACTTCTGCTTGTATAGTGTTTGGCATTTGGATGTTAGAACTCTAATGTTGAACATCAAATAAGCATTCCATTAAAACACTATTTTTTTGCATGTATCTCATATTTTTTGACAGTTCCAATGTAATCAATTCCAGATCTCCCAAATACAAAGGTATTTCTCTGATGCACTTCAGGACACTTGGAATGCAGTTTTGGAGTGTACTTCTCGTCTAGAATATATCGTTTCTACTCCTGCCATGGCTGCTAGAGTCATGTTTGGATCTAACCAGATTTCAAAAGATGCAGTTCTTCATTCTCTTAGGGAATTAGCAGGAAAACCATCTGAGCAAGTTTTTGTGAACAGTGTTAAACTCCCAAGTGAGTCAGTGGTGGAGTTCTTTACTGCTTTATGCAATGTCTCAGCTGAAGAATTGAAGCAGAATCCAGCTTGTGTTTATAGCTTGCAGAAGCTTGTTGAGATCAGTTACTACAACATGGCCCGTATCCGTATAGTAAAAAATAAAATACTTTATCTAAGTTTTATTTTCAGTTTTTAATGATTGGAAAATATTACTTCAGGTATGGGCGAGAATATGGTATGTTTTGGCTAATCATTTTATTGCTGCTGGAAGTCATCATGATGAGAAGATAGCAATGTATGCTATAGATTCTCTAAGGCAAATTGGGATGAAGTATCAGGAAGGTGTAGAGCTTGCTAATTTCACATTCCAGATTGACATCTTGAAACCATTTGTTGTTTTAATGCGAAATAGCCGGAGTGAAATAATCGGAAGATTAATCGTGGATTGCATCGTTCAGATGATAAAATCAAAAGTTGGAAGCATTAAATCTGGTTGGAGAAGTGTTTTCATGATTTTCACAGCTGCTGCAGATGATGACCTGGAACCAATTGTCGAAAGTGCTTTTGAGAATGTAGAACAAGGTAATATATTGATTTAAAAAAATCAGTTTTCACATATATCTAACATATAATAGCATTATAGATGGATTTATCAAAGAGGGTAGTCTTAATTCCGCATTCGCTATTTATACTTCAATGCATGAATCCGGTGTTACCCCTAATGTTTTCACATACACATCTTTAATATACGGATTTTGCAAATTCAAGAACATGGATCTTGTTTTGAAAATGAGGAATGAGATGAAAAGCAAAGGACTTGAATTAGATATTGTGACATATGGTGTTTTGATAGATGGATTTTGCAAAAATCGGGACATGGGAAGTGCAAATGAAATCTTTAATGAGATTCATCAAGTGGGATTATCTCCAAACACAACGGTTTACAATTCCATGATTAGTGGATTTAGGGTTATGTAATAATAATTACTAATGAATGAAATAACAAACAATGAAATTTCATTAACTTTATGTAATAGCATGATTAGCATCCCACTTTAATTTCTTTCTACTACCAAAATTGTGTTTTTAATCTTTTTCTTACCAAGACATTGTACTTGTATGCAATCATAGCATTGTAGTTTCATTTTTTTTATTATTAAAACATTGCACTTTGTAAAATCTACTCAATTATACCACTGCAAATTGCTTTCTACAATGTTGTAATAGAAATAAACGAAAATAGAATGTCATAATAAACAAATAAACGAAAGTACAATCTTATTTATTCTCTAAATTTCCGATTACAAAATGGATTTAATTTTTTTTTTGTATGATATCAGGATGTTCATGAAACTGCTGTGTGCACAATAATTATTTATGCAAGTGTTAGAATTGCTTGAAATAATCCAGTTTAGGTCTCCAGATACAACAATGAAGCATTCCAAGTTTCTTTCTCACACAAAATTTGGACCAGTGGTACAATCCAACTTTTACTTTTTACACCCAAAACATATTTTTATTATAATAAAATCATGATTAATTGAAGAAATTCCTTTTTTGTAGGCTGATGATATTCTAAATGTTGTATTATTATGAAACAAAAATCCAAGATTTTTTCAAAAAAAAAAAACTTGGATTTTGTATTTTCTGTTGGAGTTGTAAGAACCATTTTCAAAATTATTGTATCAAATCATGCCTGTAAAGTAAGCTTTTCCCTAGTTTCAATATAAATTTAGAAAATTACCTAGTTTTAATCATGTGATTCACAGAT